TCACTCTTAAGATTTTAAGAACACAGTGTTTGCAACACTTTTACAAGATGAAATGGTATTTTTACTTTCAAAGAAAACTTACAATAAATATCTCTCAAAGATAGATATATAAAATGAAATTTTGATTTTTCTGTAAATCTCACACAGGAAAGATAAGCTTAATGCTATAAGGTTCAGTGTATAATTTCTGAAAATAGATGTGAGTGATTATAGATCAAAGAATATTTTCAGGTTTTTTTGTAACTTGTTTACATTAGAGACTTTGGTATATATAATGAAAATTATAACCGTTTATAGCCGTTGTATTCATTTGAATTTATAGTCGTTTATAGCCGTTGTAGTCATTTGAATTTATAGTCGTTGTACTTCCATCATTACCAATTTGAATATCTTTGAAGCCCATCATCCCTTCAAGTCAAAATCAATACAATTCTTCTATCTACACAAAAAATAATAATAATAATAATAAATAAATATTTTTATTGTTATTTATAAAATCAGACATCTCCAGTTGGAGAATTTTCCCAAAAAAAAAAAAAATTGAAAAAATTTTGGTAAAAAAAAAAAAAAAAGCCATTTTCATTTTCATATGATTCAATCTTTTTAAAAAAATAATTTTTTTTAATATTTGTATGTTTAAATATTTTTATTTTTACTTGTATAATTTAAGTTCATATATACATATATATATATATATATATATATATTTTAATTTTCGTCAAAGTTTACATATATTTGTATAATATATATTTTGAAAACATCTCAAAACAGAGTGTGCTATTTTTTATTTTTTATTTTTTATTTTTATCATTTGCACTCAATATCACTATATTGTTTTACTAATTTTTACATTTTTACTTAGAGACTTAAATAATATTTTTTAATTAAGTAATTTTATATTGTTTTATTATTGGGAATTTTTTTTAAGATCCATGATATTAAGATTTCAAAAAAAAAAAAAAAAGAACATATAATACCAGAGTAAAATTTTACTTTCATTTTATCAAACAAAAACAGAGCACATGCCAGAGTAAAATTTTACTCTCATTCTATCAAACAAAATCAGAGCACATACTATAGTAAAAATTTACTCTCATTCTGTCAAAAAAAAAAAGAGCACATACAGGAGTAAAATTTTACTCTCATTTCATCAAACAAAATCAGATCATACACAATAAAAATAAATAAAAAATGAAAACAAAAGCAGAGACAAAAAACTAATCAACAAATGAACATACTTGATTGAACTCAAACAATAATCAAACACGTGATTGAAACACAAAACCTCTAAACCTCCATCAACACTTAGAAATCTCGATGAAACTCTCTAAATCTAATACAGCTTTGTACAGATTTGAAACGTAATCTCTCGTTTAATAGAGTGTTGATCGTTGGCGGCGAGATCGTGTATTGTTGACCAAGGGTGAGATCTTCAGATTTTGAAATCGTCTTCGTGGATTTCACAGATTATCTTCGCTGATTTTGCAAATCTTCCTCACTAATTCAAATATACAAGATCCGTGTATACATGAACTCAAATTTTCAAATATATGATATATATTATGGGTGTTCGTGGTTTGGACTTGGACGATTTGCGGATCAGTTTGGACCTGCCCGCATTTATGGGATTTGGGAAAAAGGCAATCCGCAACCGCCCACAATGAGGTTTGCGGTTTGTGAAGATAGGGTTCGGGGATGTGCGGACAGTTTCCAGATTGGACTTTTTTCTTCAAAAATTTGTTTTTGAGCCTTATTTTTTTCCCATTTTGTAAATATTTATTTTATGCCCTTTTCTCTCCATTTTCTAAAATGCTCCAACATTAATAATTAATGAATTAAAACTTATAAAATTAAAAGCACAACAAAATCAATTTGTAACACAAACAAATCATTCAAAATCTTAAATCAAATCATAAACTAACACATTTATATATTTCAAAATTCTAAACTAGAACTCCATATTTGTTAAAGAATTTAAAATTCCAAATCACCCTTCGTTCGGGACAAGTTCAGTTATCTAACAATAATAATATGATCTGTATTTATTCAGTTTCATTTGATATAATACTATTAGCAAATGTAATGCTAAAGTAAGTTCAAAAAATAAATGGTGCTTTGTTTTGGCCAAAAATATCTAGGTGGGATATAAGAATGAAATCAACGGCTAAGATAAAAAATTTAAAAAGAAAAGAAAAAGAAGAAGAAGTGCGAGCGGGTTCTTGTGGGTGCGGGTTAAACCTGCAACCTGCTCGCAACTCGCAAACATGCCATATTTCAAACCACATCCGTCCGCATTGTGTTTGCGAAACCGCCCATTTACATGCAGGTTGGGCGGTTTTTGCGAATCGGATAAATCGTTATCCACCCCTAATATATATATATATATATAAGGGCAATATGGTCAAAAAAAATACAAATTATAGAATGTTCTTATTGAGCCACATATCTCCTACTCGGGGACTTTTTGAAGGAAAATTCATTAAATTATCCTTTACCCTAAAAAAAGACCCAAAAAGGGTGATTTCACCAAAAATTTCATTTTACACTTTTTTAAGGGCACAATATTCTTTATTCCAAAATATTTTAATTTTTTATTATAATAAATTTTTAATCATTAAATTATGTCTCAAAATTTTTATTTCTCCAAAATTTTAGATCATAGCCATCACCCCAAATTAATACCAACAACTACAAGTGGCCATGCTGGGATCATTATCAAATGAGTTATGATATACCCACAAAATAGTTGTATAAAATAATGACGGTTTGTGGGCCATTCTTTTCTTTTCTTTTTTTTTTTTCCAAATTAAAACACTCTCCATTATGGCTCATAATTATTAAAATATTATTTTCACATCATTATAAATAATTTTTTTTTGTACACAATTTTATTTTCTTATCAAATTTGTGTTTATACACAGTTATTTTGAACCTTGAACCTTGCATATATTACTGCCATCCTTGGACGAACATATGATATACCTATATGCTATTTTAGCTTGGTTCTATTGACCTACTAGCAATGTTTTAAAAACCGGACCGGTGAACGAACCGGAAAAGGCATCGGGTGGACGGGTCACCGGTTCAACCGTCGGGTTGAACCGGCAATCGAACCGTTCGTAAATAAATATAATTAATTATATTTAAATAAAAATATAAGTAATAAAATTATAAATTAAATAAATCTTAAAAATATTAAATTATCTTAAATATTTGTCCTAATATTTTTTTTACTGAAAAATATAATAAATATTTAAAATTTATTAATTTTAATTTTGGAAGATGAAATCAATATTTAATATTCCCTCATATGATTTTAATTCAATAATTTGATTGAAAGGAAAGCAAAAATTTTGGAGGGATATCAAAATTTCAATATATCCTCCAATATATTTGATTGAAACCACATAGATTTCTTGAGTTTTTTTGAAAGAGTTTTTTTCTTATAAATAGGTGAAGACTTTCACAATAATTTCATCAAAACTCTTTAATGGATTCCTCACAAGAGGAGACCCTTGAAAAAGAGTTTGAAATTAAATTTCTTATATTCTTATTATTTTAATAATATAATTATATATATATATAAAATAAGAAAGAAAGAAAGAAAAGAAAGAAAGAAGATAAAAAAAACACATAAAAATTAAAAAAAAAAAAAAATTCAAACCGGTCCGGTTCGGTCAACCCGTCACCGGGTCGACCGGTTCACCGGTTTAACCGGTGGGTTCACCGGTTTTCACTAAAGAGGCCGGTTTTTACCTTTGGCCGGTTTTAGGGGGCTGACCGGACCGGAACCCCATCCGGTCACCGGTTCAACCGGTTGAACCGGCCGGTCCGGTCCGGGTTTTAAAACCATGCCTACTAGACAGATATATGTTTGACTGTCTCATGTACCCTTATTGGTTACTTACTGTTTAATTTTATATTTTTAATAAAATTTTTACTTTAATGATAACAAAAAAGAAAAAGAAGCTAAACAATAAATAAAAATTTCACTAATATTAAACAGTAACTAATAAGCTTGTTACAGTAAAGGTTCTAAAAGAAGAACCATTTAGGGGTCATTTGGCAATGTTTTTTTAATTAATTTTTTGATTTTTTTGACTATTTTAACTTGAGAGTTTTTTAATTGTTTGATTTTCTTGTTTGGACTTTTTGACTTTGAAATGATAATTTTTTTTTTTTATCCTTTTGTGATTTTTGAATTTTTTTTTTATTCTATTGTGATTTTTTTGCCTAAAATGATAACCAAATGAGCACTTATTTTCTAACCGTCCTACATATAGAGGGGTTTTTTTATTTTTTTATTTCATGATTATTAAACTAAAACAAATTCTGAATGTAGGAACATAAATGAGTTTAAAGCAACACAAGAAGAGAACAATAAGATTAATGATTGAGGCCTCAAATTTTTTGATTCAAATTTGACTCGAATTTTTTTCTTTTTTTTGCTGGGTTGATGCTTTGCTTGTTATTATTATTATTATTTTTATTTATTTTTTTCTACAATGTATTAACCCAGAAAAAAAAAATAAAATAATAATAATACATTCGAGGCAATTTCAAACCTCATTTTCGACGCCTCAATCACAGCCGGAACAATAATAGCCCAGGGGTTTGTGTGGTGGCAATTTCAAGGACACTTGACAAGTTTATCACGGTACATGACATTGAAATGGTCCCAGCTGTTGGCTGGGCAGAGATTTTCTCTGAGAGGGACACATTTGAACTTGCCACAGCAATCTTTGAGATCTTCATAGTAGGGGTGCAACTCGGGCGGGCTCAATTCGAGCAATCCGAGCCTAGCTTGAATTTTTTTGGGGCTTGGACAACTATATCTTGTAATCTGGACGGGCTTGGGCAGATTTTTGATGCCCGAATTGCAATTCGGGCCGGGCTTGGACAGAATCAATGGCCAACCCGAGCAACTCGAACCCGAATTCAATTTAATATATTATATAAATTATATAATATATATATATATATAATTTAATATATATAATTTAATAAATTATTTTCCCGGAAATTTCATTATCAGCTAAATTCAGCTCATTGAGCTTCTTCCAAGATTGGATTCCAATTGGTAGTTCACCAGACAAGCCATTGTTGTGAAGATCAAGCCTCCCTAGCTGCCTAAGATTTACTATACTCTCCGGCAATGACCCGGTGAACCGGTTATCATTTCCGGTGAATTCCACCAAATTCTCCAACCACCCAATCTCCTCCGGAATGTTGCCGGAAAATTTGTTTCCGGATATTATCAAAGCCGACAAATTCGACGCTCCGGCAATATTCTTCGAAATATTGCCAGAAAATGAATTGTCGGCGAGCTCGAGCAAGTAGACATTTGGAAGCCCCCAAAATCTCGCCGGAACTTCGCCGGAAAATTTGTTGTTTCCCAATCGTACACGTGTCAAGCTCCGGCATTCGCTCAAACTCGCTGGAATTTCGCCGGAAAACGAGTTGTGTATCATTAAAAGCTCTTCTAAAACACCTTTTTCACACAAACTCGCCGGAATTTCGCCGGAAAATTGATTGTTCGATACATCAACCCACAACACCGGCGAGTTTTTTCCCAAATCTCTCGGTAACTCTCCCGTGAGTCGGTTCCGAAACAACTTTAATTCATACAAATTCGGCGATTTCACTATACTCTCAGGTAATTCACCTTCGAATTGATTCTCATAGAGGTTGAGCGATTCCAGTGGCAACTCACACAGCTCGTCTGGAATCGTCCCATTCAACTCATTCATCGACGCATCGAAAAATCGCAATGCAGTCATGTTCGACCACCCAATCGCCGGTAACTCGCCGGTTAACGAGTTATTATACAGCTCTATTTGCTTAACACTAACCAACTCAGTGAGCGAACTCGGAATTACACCATTCAAATTGTTCAAAGCCAAGTCCAAGTCAACTAGTTTCTTGAGTCGACCCAGCGAGTCCGGAATCGAACCCACCAAGTTACAGTCAGTAACCCATAAGATTTCAAGCTCCGTCAAATTACCCAGCTCCGGCGGGATCCGACCCGGCGAAAACGGGTTGTACGAAAGGTTAAGCTGTTTAAGGCCCGAAATGTTCCCGAGAACGGCCGGAATTTCGCCGGAAAACAGGTTTTCGACGAGAGAGATGGATTCGAGTCGCCGGAACTTCCCAAAACTCGCTGGAATCTCCCCGGAAAAGTTGTTTCCGGATAAATCGAGGTGCTTGAGGTGGGGGAGATCGGATAGGGAACTGGGTAGTGTACCGGTGAGCAAGTTTTGGGCGAGATTGAGGTGTTTGAGTCTCCGACAATCCGAGATGTTTTTGGGTAAGGTTGAGTTGATTGAATTGTTGAAGAGATAGATGGAATTGAGGTTTCGGAGTCGGCAGAGGTCGGAGGGAAAAGGTCCGGCAATGTTGCCGGAGGAGAGGTCGATGGAGGTGACTGAGTGAGTGAGTGAGTCGCAGGAGATTCCGAACCAGTTGCAGGGATTGGCGTCTCTGGTTTTCCAGTTGGAGAAGATGTTGTCTGGGTCGTCGAAAGTGAGTTTGATTCGGTGGAGAAGGAGTCCTTCTTGGTTGAGACAGTGACCCAGATGGAGAGAGTGAAGAAAGAGTAGTAACTGAAGAAGCATATTGATATTGTTGATTCTGGAGAGAATGAGAGAGACTGGGGAATTGGAGTTGGGCTTGCTCTGTAAAAAATGAATTTTTATTATATATATAAGAGTGTGTGTATTCGTGTTTATACCCATGTTGGAGTAGTTAGGAGAATGAAGCTGTTGGACAGGAGAATGAGTATGTCAAGCAATGTTGGTTAAAATTTTCAAGTAAATTTTTTATTTCTTTTTTGAATTTTAGTTAAGAGAAATTGTTGGAGTGTGCTATATGTACCTTTAATTATAATTTTTGTATTTTGCTTATGATTCATTGCGTTGTTATTATCACATTATTTTGATGAGTATTGTTACACTCAAGAATTAAACTTACTTTTTAGACATAATAATGTAACACTCTATTAAATATTTAAGTCATCTCTCTTTCTCATTTATTCTTTATCAACCATGTCACCACACAAATCTGAATTACCCAAAAAACTAGTCTTAAAAATTTCCTTAGCATATAGAGGAGGAATGTCACCGGAAAGCCGGTTATTCGACAAATTGAGCCGACTGAGCATCAAATTCTCCAACCCAATTGGGATTTTCCCGGAAAATTGGTTTCCAGAAAGATCAAGGTAACTCAGAACAGACAAAGTTCCAATTTCCTCGGGAATTTTCCCGGAAATTTCATTATCAGCTAAATTCAGCTCATTGAGCTTCTTCCAAGATTGGATTCCAATTGGTAGTTCACCAGACAAGCCATTGTTGTGAAGATCAAGCCTCCCTAGCTGCCTAAGATTTACTATACTCTCCGGCAATGACCCGGTGAACCGGTTATCATTTCCGGTGAATTCCACCAAATTCTCCAACCACCCAATTCCATTCCTGTGATTTTTCATAATTCACATAGAACCAATACACAGACTAGTAGTCACCCCTAAAGGCAGAAGTTACTAATGCAAAATAAACCCATAAGAGATCTTCGATTTTATTTTTATAAAATTTCTCAGAGAGATGCCAGAAAGAAAATTGACATCAAAGAAACTCTACAATACTTTCTTTACCTTCATGAAAGCAAACATCAAGAAAGGATAAAAATAAAAACTGAAAAATTGGCAACACAAGAGGAGCGAGCACTTCTTCTCCCTCTCCTTCCACATTCCAACTCTATGACATGATAAAACTTTTCAAGCTACACTTCCTTGATCCGAGGCATCTTCATAGTAATAAGGCGTAAATTTGTCGTCTTTCTGGGCAGCCTTAAGATGGTGTTCGGCACCCACTTCATGCAACATATTTACAACCCTTCTCATCGATGGACGGTTTATGGGGAGGGGGCTGGTGCAGATGAGGCCGATATTGAGGACGTTGCTCATTTCTTCTTTGAAACAAGAATCAAGTTTAGGGTCGAGTACATGATCTACATCTTTCTGGTCCAAAGTAGTGCATACCCACTTGATCATATCTTTTTCCCCAAATTCAGGATCAACTGGGAGTCTCCCTGTGACCAATTCAAGAATCACAACACCGAAGCTGTATATGTCGCTCTTCTCATTCACTCGAAGTGTATATGCATACTCTGCAAAGAAAAACCAAGTCATTGATATAACAAGCTTTCTTGATTCGAACCCTTTGTTTATAGTCAATTAGATTTAGAGTCCTGAAGTCTGCTCCACGTGAAGTGTGATATTTCTACTTGTAGCTTGACATTTAAACTTGTATTTTAGGATAAGAAATACAAAGATCACTAGCTAGTTATGAAATGCAATAAACAATTTAATTTTCGAACTATAATATTTATATAATATTCTTCAATTACTAAAGAGCAATCAGAAAGCAATAATGAAAGAACAAAGAACATCATATGTAAAGGAGGGGATCAAACTTAGGAAAGTACAAACCTGGTGCAATGTAACCACAAGAACCCGCAATGGCAGACATGGTTTGAGTCCCCATCCCAATCGCATCAAGTGCCTTGGCTACTCCAAAATCTGCTATTCGAGCCCTAAAATCCTCGTCCAACAAGATGTTATTCGATTTCACATCTCTATGCACAATCGGAGGAACACAACCGTGATGCAAATACGAAAGCCCCTCAGCAGCATCCATGGCAATCTTAAACCTCATTGGCCAATCCAACAAGCCACTCTTCTTGCTATGAAGCAAATCGCCCAAACTTCCATTAGGCATGTACTCGTAAACCAAAAGCTTGCAATTCCCTGTAACACAGCAACACCATAGCTTGACAATGTTCTTATGTCTAATCTTTCCCAATGTCTCAACCTCTGCTTCAAACCCATCATCTTGAATCCAACCCTTCTCGATATCACCACTGTCCTCCATTTTGGACCTTCCCCATAGCTTTTTCACTGCAATAGTCTCTCCATTGCTGAGTATAGCCTTGTAAACTTTCCCAGAAAACCCGCTTCCAATCACATTATCTTCATCAAGACAGTTCAAGATCTCATATTCACTGAAACCCAATTTGTGGAACGACATCAATGTCCATTTCGATCTGTCAATTTCTCTGTTTGCTTCCTTGAAATTCTTATACTTACAATAGAACCAAACACCACCCACAATAAACACAAGTCCAGTGAGTATAAACATTAACCAAACATAGCCCAAATTCTTATCTCCATCTCTACGATCACATAAACCAACCATGTCACCACACAAATCTGAATTACCCAAAAAACTAGTCTTAAAAATTTCCTTAGCATATAGAGGAGGAATGTCACCGGAAAGCTGGTTATTCGACAAATTGAGCCGACTGAGCATCAAATTCTCCAACCCAATTGGGATTTTCCCGGAAAATTGGTTTCCAGAAAGATCAAGGTAACTCAGAACAGACAAAGTTCCAATTTCCTCGGGAATTTTCCCGGAAATTTCATTATCAGCTAAATTCAGCTCATTGAGCTTCTTCCAAGATTGGATTCCAATTGGTAGTTCACCAGACAAGCCATTGTTGTGAAGATCAAGCCTCCCTAGCTGCCTAAGATTCACTATACTCTCCGGCAATGACCCGGTGAACCGGTTATCATTTCCGGTGAATTCCACCAAATTCTCCAACCACCCAATCTCCTCCGGAATGTTGCCGGAAAATTTGTTTCCGGATATTATCAAAGCCGACAAATTCGTCGCTCCGGCAATATTCTTCGAAATATTGCCAGAAAATGAATTGTCGGCGAGCTCGAGCAAGTAGACATTTGGAAGCCCCCAAAATCTCGCCGGAACTTCGCCGGAAAATTTGTTGTTTCCCAATCGTACACGTGTCAAGCTCCGGCATTCGCTCAAACTCGCTGGAATTTCGCCGGAAAACGAGTTGTGTATCATTAAAAGCTCTTCTAAAACACCTTTTTCACACAAACTCGCCGGAATTTCGCCGGAAAATTGATTGTTCGATACATCAACCCACAACACCGGCGAGTTTTTTCCCAAATCTCTCGGTAACTCTCCCGTGAGTCGGTTCCGAAACAACTTTAATTCATACAAATTCGGCGATTTCACTATACTCTCAGGTAATTCACCTTCGAATTGATTCTCATAGAGGTTGAGCGATTCCAGTGGCAACTCACACAGCTCGTCTGGAATCGTCCCATTCAACTCATTCATCGACGCATCGAAAAATCGCAATGCAGTCATGTTCGACCACCCAATCGCCGGTAACTCGCCGGTTAACGAGTTATTATACAGCTCTATTTGCTTAACACTAACCAACTCAGTGAGCGAACTCGGAATTACACCATTCAAATTGTTCAAAGCCAAGTCCAAGTCAACTAGTTTCTTGAGTCGACCCAGCGAGTCCGGAATCGAACCCACCAAGTTACAGTCAGTAACCCATAAGATTTCAAGCTCCGTCAAATTACCCAGCTCCGGCGGGATCCGACCCGGCGAAAACGGGTTGTACGAAAGGTTAAGCTGTTTAAGGCCCGAAATGTTCCCGAGAACGGCCGGAATTTCGCCGGAAAACAGGTTTTCGACGAGAGAGATGGATTCGAGTCGCCGGAACTTCCCAAAACTCGCTGGAATCTCCCCGGAAAAGTTGTTTCCGGATAAATCGAGGTGCTTGAGGTGGGGGAGATCGGATAGGGAACTGGGTAGTGTACCGGTGAGCAAGTTTTGGGCGAGATTGAGGTGTTTGAGTCTCCGACAATCCGAGATGTTTTTGGGTAAAGTTGAGTTGATTGAATTGTTGAAGAGATAGATGGAATTGAGGTTTCGGAGTCGGCAGAGGTCGGAGGGAAAAGGTCCGGCAATGTTGCCGGAGGAGAGGTCGATGGAGGTGACTGAGTGAGTGAGTGAGTCGCAGGAGATTCCGAACCAGTTGCAGGGATTGGCGTCTCTGGTTTTCCAGTTGGAGAAGATGTTGTCTAGGTCGTCGAAAGTGAGTTTGATTCGGTGGAGAAGGAGTCCTTCTTGGTTGAGACAGTGACCCAGATGGAGAGAGTGAAGAAAGAGTAGTAACTGAAGAAGCATATTGATATTGTTGATTCTGGAGAGAATGAGAGAGACTGGGGAATTGGAGTTGGGCTTGCTCTGTAAAAAATGAATTTTTATTATATATATAAGAGTGTGTGTATTCGTGTTTATACCCATGTTGGAGTAGTTAGGAGAATGAAGCTGTTGGACAGGAGAATGAGTATGTCAAGCAATGTTGGTTAAAATTTTCAAGTAAATTTTTTATTTCTTTTTTGAATTTTAATTAAGGGAAATTGTCGGAGTGTGCTATATGTACCTTTAATTATAATTTTTGTATTTTGCTTATGATTCATTGCGTTGTTATTA